TTATTCGGACTGACTGTGAAAAATGTAAATCGTCATATTACGGTGGCCGACATATTGGATTTAGGTTGACATCACTATGGTTATTTTGTTTCTCTCATTTAGCTCTTTCATGTCGTGCTCATGTCGTTGGCGTGACGATTAAATACGTAAATCGTCATTTTATAACATCCGCCATATTGTAGTCAAAATGGCAGCAGGTAAATTACTTTGTATTGTCACGCAGACCAAACGTGTGTACAAAATTTTAGCGCAATTGGTTAAGCTCAAATAATTCCAAATTTTCTTTTCAAGATTCGTCCCACATATACCAACTTGATTTGGTTTTTCTGAAAATTTATTCTGAGTCAGTCGCATCATGAGCCATCCCTGCGTCTCTTTGCACGAGGTCACGCCCGCCGACAGGGTGCACCCCCTAGTTTGAAACCCAATAATCTAAACCAATTTCAACTTAAGGTCGCATGATTTTTTTTTTGAGCTGCATGTTTGTAGCAGTATTTTGATTATTTCATGGTTTGTATGCATTTTTTTGCAATGTATTGTTAATTTTTTCTTTAGTCGTAACTTGCTAGCAAATACTAGAGCACCTCTGAAGTTGAATGTCAAAATTCCAATGTTACAGTAGAATTGAGCGAGTGATTACTTTTATTCTTATCATTTTTTCTCTCCGAAAAATCATTGATTCTCTTGAAACCTCGTTTTGCAGCGAACTAAATTTTCAAGAAAGGCTAAGATTTTTTGAAGAGAGAAAGTGATAAGGAAAAAGTAATCACCCACTCAATTGTTCCGTAAAAATGGAATATTCACATACAATTTTAGAGCTGTACTATTATTTGTTAACAAGTTACGATCGGAGGAAAGATGCAGAAAAAATGCATAAGAAATGCATTTTTTGACAAAAAAGAAACTGATATTGTTTTTCAGCCAACTCCTCAAGACAGGCTGTTGAAAAGAAGGGAGGTGCGACCTTAGATCATGAACAAAGGTTTCTCAGGACATGTGTTAGGGGCTACCCTATTACACTCACTACATTTCGCACCTGTAGCGTACTGCAGCACCATCTTAAGCGGAAATTAGGTTTTACTTTTTTTCAGATCAGCTCCGATTTTCAGCTGACAGGTTTGCAAAAGTTCTTGGTTATATAATACGCTATTCATACCTAATATGAACTCATGAAATGATGTTGGTACTCCTCCAAAAATTCACCTTACAGCAGCGTTTCTCAATATGTGGGGCGCGCCCCCCTCGGGGAGCGTGTCAATATTAAAGGGACGCGCGAACATAGAAAAAAACGCTAACAACATTGAATTCTTTACTAAAAGGAAAGAAAAACATAATTCTGACATAATCAAAAATAAAATACACATTAACCTGATATAGTAGGTACACTTCTAAACGGGACTGCGTTTATCAATACTAAATTAAAAATAAGTTTAATAATATTAATTGTAAAAAATGATAATAATTACTATGGACTCCCTTGGACATGCTTTGGCGAGCAAATTTCGCCGTAACAAGGTTTAATATTTCAAATAGACACTCTGAGTTCTTTTTCTATATTTAGCTGCGATCTATATTTGGTCTTCAAGGCAGCCACCGCCGAAAATCCTGTTTCGCAAAGGTAGGATGTTGCAACGGGGTTGCCATATTAGGGGGTTTTCCCCAAAAATCAGGGGATTTTTATGTCAATTGGGAAAATATTGGGGACATTTTTTCTGTGGATTTCTTTTAGAGAAACATATTTTACTGGAGAGGTATTATTACGTTATATTTTATTAATGATATTACATAATGTACTTTTTATGTATTTATTTGTCTTTCGGTTCAAAACAAATGAGGTATTTAGCGACATGTCGTTCAAAAAAATATTTCAGGATCCAAGAATACCTAATAAATCGTAAACCTATGTTAAAACAAAAAATAATTGAAATTTTTGTTTTTTTAAAGTCCTGAATTTATGGGATTTCTACATTTCGACTGGGGAAACTGAGCTAAACGACCTGGCAACCCTGTGTTGAAAATGGTAGTAGTCTACAAATCGCTCTGGTTTTGAATGCCGAAAATTCATCGTTCACGCCTGCCCAAAATTCAAACGCATTTATTATTAAACTGTTTTTTGATTCCGGGTTAAGTTGAAAAACGCTTTTTAGCGACACTTCGCCTTTTTGTAGTTTGTATAAATAAAGCCGGATTATTATTATTATTATTATTATTATTATTATTATTATTATTATTTCGGCGTTTGACCTTAAGTCTATGAAGATTCCTTCTTCGGCAGTTGAGATCCCTTCGGGAGTAATTTGAAACGGATTCCTAACCCACTCGTAACTCAGTATTAATTTGTCATCGGTAAGAAAATATTACTTAAAATTCTTTGTCAGCATCGCTAACTGATTTTCAGTGGTTATGAAAACAAGTTTCATGTGTTGTTCTTCTACCTTGTATGTTTTAATACATTCATCCACATTAGCAATCATTTTCAGGTTTTTTGCTTCAAATTTCTGCTCCTCAATTCCAATTTTCTACAAAAAGCGTTATCGTTATCACTCGTATCTAAAATATGTGTACTTACTCCTTGGAGCTGAAAGTTCAAGATATTTAGTTTCTCGAATATGTCGACCAATTCCATCAGAAACAAACCATCTCGAAACATCTCGGCGTCCGGTCGGTTTTCTTCTCCTAGAAAAACACGTTGTAAACATTTCCCACGTGATAACCATCTTGTCTCGTAATGGAATAGTAATCCTGAATGTAGGTACTGCATCAATATCTTTACAAGTTCAGAAAAGATTCTAGTTTTCAAAGGTTTCAGTTTTATGTAACAAACTACTGTTACAACCATAGTTTCTTTGGAAGCCAGAGCATCTCTGTGAATCATGCAATGCGTCCACATACACAGTGCAGATTTTTGTTTTTCAAGTGCTTGTATACTTTCAAATCTTCCGGACATTAAACAAACTCCAGCGGTGCGTATTCCGACGCAACTCTTCCACTCTATGTTTGCCTAGATTATATAATCATTTAAGATAATAAATAATGCGGGACCTTTGCTTTGAGTTCTGTAGGTTTGCAGAAAAGTAATTCTTCTACTGTTGATATGCCATAACAAAGTCGAAGGTAGGCAAAAGATGAGCATCTTTACTGCTGTCCTCATCAAGCTAAATTGAAAACTATATCCCCAATTCGACGGGCATCTGTTATTTGATAGAGGTATGGACTAATATTTTTTCTCCAAACATAGTTTCTACAATTTTAATTCCAGCTGGCAAAATAAGCTCTCCACCAATAGTGTGAGACTTCTTACGTGTGGCTATTTTATATAAAACTTAATAAGAGGCAAGTAAAGCTTTTTCATTCACAGTCACATTTTTTTAAATCATTTTTCCTTTTCGCATGATTTTAATTTTAACCCAATGGATTCTCAGGGTTTGTTGACGTACTCACTATGAAGCGTTTCCAAATGTTGTTTAAGTTTATTAGGTACCATGCTATCTGTTGCTAAAGTCTTGAATGTTCGGAATAACTCGGAACTTCTCGCGAAGAGAGGCATTGATTCCGGATTTGCCAATGCAGCAGATCGGCGTTGCCAAATACCTACACATTTACTTATTCTCTGTAAGATGTAGGATTTGTAATTAAGGTTGTACTGCAAGTTTAGCGTCAAAAGGCAGCAGCGGTGGCCGCAGTAGTACACTCTTCGGTCTCCTGATCAGTCGCCGTGCGCTGTGCGGGTTCGAGTCCCGTCCCAGGAGAATTTTTTCTCTTGGCTATGGATGTTGTGATTGTCCGTAGGTGGTAGACGGTTTCTGACTGTCGAACGCGGAGGTATACCACCCGGCGGATCTCGTACGCGGAGCCAGAATGTGTGCATGTTGCATGCACACGTGTTCCCCCGCCAGAGTCCGTGTGGCGTTCCCCCTTTCCCATGTATCCCCCTATAGCCCCACGGTAAATGGGTGCTTAGGCCTTAGGCCTTCGTGTTAGTTGGAGTATAAAAAAACACATTATTCTTGTGGTTTTTGTGTGGGGGGGAGGGGGCGCGGTGAAAATAATTATTGAAAATTGTGTCGGGAATGGTGAAAGGTTGAGAAACGCTGCCTTAGAGAATATCACTAGTCATTGGCTGATAATATTGGTTTGCAACATAATTTTTTATACTTATGTAGCCAGGTAGGCATAAAACCTAAATGCCGACGGACCATGACTGCCATAATGAGCTTAAAAAGCCTTGCTACTACAGTAGTAGTACTGTAGTAGTACTGTAATCGCGGAACATTGACAAAATACATCACGAAAAACCATGTCACTTTTCCGTCGGTCGGACTATTCGCAAATCCTTGAACCGCCTATAACTTGGGAAGTACTGCTCGGATTTTGAAGAAATGCTTACGCAATGCTTCTGCTAGGCCAATGATGCAAAATCTCTGTACTTTTTGAAAATTTGCTTTGTGGCGGCGGAAAAAATACCATAGACGAAATAAATAAAAATCGTACAAACTTCGTTTTTTTGACGTTTCAAAGGATCCGGACTATTTTTAAAAAAATTTGTAGGGATAAAAGATTGTATACTATCGTGTACAGATACGCTCATTGCTTCAATCTGAAAAAATGTTTAATCTTAAGTCACAAATAGGGCACTCACGGCTCTAGCGAAACTTATGCCCTCCTTTTCCATTGTACTACATGGAAGATTGTACTAGAAGTTCTTTCGATGGTATAGGATGTATAGACTCATTCTACTTGACGCCACTGTTTTAACTAGCCGAATTTAGTAAGCACTTCTTCAGACAGATTATTCCACAGCCTCGACACTCTAGCAACAAAGGAGCGGTCGTACTGGATGGATGAATGGAAGACAGAAGCCTGGTGGATTTATCTGGCAGGCTCATCGCGTGACGACATCATGGTGGCAAGCTCTGACGAACAAGACCCGTTGGCATAATACCCATCGCCATCGGTGTGAGATGGTCCCAAGACCGTATATCATCAATAATACAAGTACCTTTTGGAAGTCAATCTATTTATACAACTTGGATAACACATAGTTCTAATACAGTTTCAATCGACAAAGCAAAACATATCTATACATCATTATCATGCTAACTGTTTTCCCTTTTAGGTTCCTTCCACAACATTAAGTTCACTGCAGGTATCTCCTCACAATTTGTTTCCCGATTACTGCAAAAAGTAAGTGGATGAGTAACAACTTTTGTTACAAAAACGGTAAGGTAATCAATAAACAGTGATTTAAAACTGTAACGTAAAACATCTGATATTATAAATATTCGATATGGATGAAGTGAGAAAGAGAAAATGTATAAAAAAGTAAGTATTAGCCCTGGATCAGGCGCGCGGTCTACCATTGTAGACCACACATGTTTGCCGTATCGTAATTTCTGCACGGAATTTTTTGAATTCCTGGGCCGACCAGTAGATGTCCAGAAGGTCGAATTGAATACACTTGTTGTACAGGGTGCGGCAGAGAGGATGGACGGTTTTAAAAAAATCACAAAATAGTTAATCTTCACTCGAAAACAAATTTATTGATGGAATCAGGTTCACAAGGAAATAGCATTTGAGACAGTCAAGTGTGGAAAATCACATCAGGCATGTGGTGGCCGAAATCGTTGATGCAGTGCTGGAGGCGTTCTTGAAAGTTCGCGTAGACTCTCACCAACATCGCTCTCTCAACTTGGGCGACTTCCACGCGAATTTCGCCCTTCAATTCGTCCAGTGTTCGGGGTTTGTTCGCGTATACTCTAGCCTTGAGGTGTCCCCACAAGAAAAAATCGCATATGGATAAATCTGGGGACCGAGGAGGCCAATGAACATCGCCAAACCTGGAAATAAGGCGACCAGGGAAGAGAGGGCGAATAACGTCCATGGATGCTCGGGCTGTGTGGGCGTCGCCCCATCCTGCTGGAACCACACACGTCGGATGGGAACACGTCGCCGTCGTAATTCAGGGAGAAAGAAGTTGGTGATCACGTCGACGTAGCGCTCTGAGTTCACGGTAACATCACGGCCATTACCGTCTTCGAAGAAGTAAGGGCCAATGATGCAAGTTTGCGATGCAGCGGTCTTTCGTGTAACTGTTGCGGATTTTCATTAGCCCAATAACGACAATTCTGCTGGTTAACTATGCTGTTTAGGTGAAAGTGGGCTTCGTCACTCATAAACAAAATGAGGTTCTCATTTTGATCGATCAGTCCTTCCATCTCACGTGCGAAGTTCATTCGTTGTGCATAATCTCCGGGCTGTAACTGTTGCACAATGGCCAATTTGTCGGGGTGAAAGCGGAGATCCGTATGCGCTCCTCTTGGTCTTCTGTTGATCAGTTCACCACGCCTGCGAAGTAATTCAACCCAACGAAGGATGGTGTTTCGAGAGAGAACAGCTCTATTCCGATGAATGTTGAAGTGGCGACGAAACTCACGCTGTACGACGATGACTGACTCATTATTTCGGACGAAACAATCATAGGCGAAAACGCGGTGCTCCACCGTCCAAGGCTCCATAGCGACAACTGGTAAAATAATGCTAGGATCACACGAGTCAAACGGCACCCTCCCCACCTCTCTCGTAGACGGAGGCGGAGAGTACTACCCAGTCCAAAAACGTCCGTCCTCTCTGCCGCACCCTGTATATCTGACTGTCGCAGGTATCGCATATGCATATAGTTATCGACGGTCTACGGTCGTAGACCATGCGCCTGAACTCATTATTGTATTTATTATTATATATATATTTATTATTATAAGTATTTCGCGTACGAGTTACTGGTTTGTCATACATGCGCTTAGAATAAATAGTGTTTACGGACATTAGTAATAAATTTTAGTACAAAAACAGTATTTCTGCTCCGAAAAGATCGCGTGTCGTTCATAGCAATGAGCCGGAAGTTTGGATGCAGTGGTATAATGAATTATCAAGTGGCGAGGAATCTTCAGTATCGGATGAGGATGGAGATGAATTAGAAGTGGATATGATTCTAAATAGCGATCATGACACCGATACAGAAGAAGAAATAGAGGAGCATGAAGAATCAGAAGAAAATAGCGAATATAGTGACCAATCTACAAGTACGAAATTTTATCTAGGAAAATACAAGACGACGAAGTTAGACCTCGTGCCCACAATATTATAAAATTACTTCCTGGTCCCAAAGGTATGGCTCGCAATGCAAAATTAGAAATGGAATGTTTCGAATTATATTTGGATGAAACCATTATTCGCATTATCGTCACTTGCACAAATATCTTTATAGATAAAGTTCGCGTCAATTACAACCGTGACAGAGACGCAAGACAAACAGATCAAAAGGAGATTAGAGCATTATTTGGAATTTTGTTGCAAATTGGAGCGTTTGGAAGTTGTGGGATAACTCTAAGGGAAGCGGTATAGAGTTATCTTATCTATCCATGATCCAGAAGAGATTCTATTTTCTTCTAAGGTGCCTTCGCTTTAATGACGTACGTGATAGGAATCAAAGAAGAGAAACTGACAAAATGGCGCATATACGGGAAGTATTTCAGTTATTTATTGAAAATTTTCAAAAATATTTCATTGCTAGCGAGTTGACGAGCAGATTTTGACATTTCGTGGGCGTTGCTCATTCAATCAATACATTCCAAGCAAGCCCGCTAGATATGAAGTAAAAATGTTTGCTTTAGTTGATGCAAAAACTGGCTATACGTTCAACTTAGAGCCATATGTGAGTATACAACCTGAAGGGCCATACAAATGGGGAAATTCAGCTCAAGAGATTGTGCTAAGACTTGTCGAACCAGTAATAAACACTAACAGAAATATTACTGGAGATAACTGGTTTACGTGCATATCGCTAGTAGAAAAATTGCTAGAAAAAAAATTAACGTATAAGAATAAAACTGAGTTACCCCAAGACTACACCCTAGTTTCTTACTGTCCGAAGAAAAATAAAGCGGTTTTAGTTATATCAAGCATGCATCATGACGATGCAATATACATTGAAGGTGGTGAAAAAGCCAAACCAGAAATGATAACTTATTATAACAGAACTAAAATAGTAGTGGACTTGCTAGATCAAATGTGCCAAAAATACAATGTCGCAAGAAACACACGACGTTGGCCGATGGTAATTTTTTATGATCTATTAAATATTTCAGTTATAAATGCATTATGCATTTATAAAGCGAATAATGGATTTCCGCGCGTAAAACGTAGCAAGTTTATTGAAAGTTTGGCCTGGGAACAAGTAAAGCCACAAATAGAATTCAGGTCAAACATCCCACAACTTCCCGTGGAAATAAGAAGGCGTGCAAGGGTACTTCTAGGTGTAGCGGAACCTGAGACACCTCATCAACAAGTTCCGCAAAACTACGTTGGGCGTTGCTATATTTGCACAAGGAATCGCAGCAAATCTACAAGAAGACAGTGCGTGAAATGCCACAAATACGCATGCAAAGATCATATGAGAGACGTTTGTTTGAATTGTGTGTAATTTTTCTCCATTTGTTTTTATATTTTTAACTGTTTTAGTTCTTTTCAAATATTTGTTTCTTCAGTTTTTTAACCTTTGATGGTATTTGTGCGTTAATGTGCATTAAAATTACATTTGGATTGAGATGAGATGTTTATTTTTTTGCAGTTATAGTCTCGTGTTCTCCTGTTAGTATTTTTTTACTAAAACATTAAATTTACAAAATAAAAACCAAAATAATATTGAATGTCAGAAAAAAAGCATAAAATGACGTGGTCTACAATGGTAGTCCACGCGACCGAACACGTGCACTAATTGAACGCGCCTGGTCCACGATTAGACACCATGACAACATTTTCAATACATTTATGATACCCATATAGTCATCACAGATATTGTGTTATGTATATTTTGCCTATAAATATCTGAGATCCATAGCTTGAGTTCTTTCTTAAACAGGAGTTTTGTAGCGGTCTTCCCAATGTGCCTTTGACACCGCATTTGATGCTTTGAAACAGGAGTAGCTGACTCTTTAGTTCAAATGTTTCAGACATTTTTAGAAGGTTTTAGAAAATCATGGTATATCTGAATAACTAATGGATAATTTATATATATATATATATATAATAGCATACGTTTGTAATTAAGAAAGAATATGATACTTATGCTTTAAAAAGTTAAAATCGGATTACTGGTTACTAACATGTGTGGGCCGTTATACAACTTGACGGCCATGATCCCCATGTTTTTTCGAACAATGAAACCACATATATTTAAGAGTCTTCTTTAATGTTAGGTGTTAATTTACTATTAATGATAAAGATTTCCATTACGCACTTTCAGCCATCTAATGAAATTTTAATTATTTATTTTAGAAATTCATTTAATAGGTAATAGGTATAAATCTATGACTATTCCCACCAATTTCAGAACAGTGTCCATAGAAGAGTCTTGTTCCATTAGCAGTAAATCTAATTTGACTCAAAGACAAAGGGTCTAGAAAGTTTAGAAAGAGGAATCAAGACGAACCTCATGCCACCTAAGGAAAGAAATTATCTATTTTTTAACCGGGTTGTACTCGATGGGTTCATCCAAATCCTTGCCTCTTTTTACTCTCTGTTGGCGCAGGCGCCTATAAAGTTTCCTATTAATGATTTAAATGATCGTTGCTCACTTTCAATATCTAGTGAAATTTTTATTATTTTAGAAACTCATTTAACAAAATAATTGGGAGAAATCATTTCTATAACAGTAGGTATAAATCTACGATTAGCCCCACAAATTTCATTTATTTCGATTCGTAGTAGATCTCGTTTGGTTTAAATGACCGAGTGCTGCGTCGATTTTAATGCATAGTGAGGCAATTGTTTATTGGGATAACGATACTGTTATCGGCGTCCAATGACCGGAAATTATAGTTTTTAATTTCATTTACTGGGATTATAATGGGTGATTTTTTTGCTAGTATCTTTTTGGTAACACTGTTTTTGACAGATGACGCGTGAATCGTGTCTTGTGTCATTGTCAAACTTGCTCAGTTTGGTCTATAATTTAACGATGAATCGACGCCTGCAAATTATTGAATTTTATTATCAAAATTCTTGCTCAGTTAAGAGAGTGCATCGAGCACTGCTTCCAATTTATGGGCAATTTGGTCGGCCTACTGAGGGAGCTATTCGGAAGCTTGTGACTAAATTTCGAACCCAGTTTACATTATTGGACATTAAACCACCAACACGCAGACGTAGAGGGACGACTGAAGAAAATATTGCGGCTGTATCCGCCAGTGTTAGTGATGACCGTGAAATGTCGATTCGCCGCCGTTCGCAGCAATTGGGCCTCTGTTACTCCACTACGTGGAAAAATTTGTGACAGGATTTGGGTGTAAAACCTTATAAGATACAGCTGGTGCAAGAATTGAAGCCACACGACCTCCAACAACGTTTCCCATTTGGTGAATGGACGCTGGCAAAGTTGGAGGAAGATCCACATTTTTATCGAAAAATCGTGTTCAGCGACGAAGCTCATTTCTGGTTGAATGGGTACGTTAACAAGCAAAATTGCCGCATCTGGAGTGAAGACCAGCCAGAAGCATTGCAAGAGCTACCAATGCATCCCGAAAAAATCACTGTTTGGTGTGGATTATGGGCCGGTGGCATCATCGGGCCGTACTTCTTCAAAGACGACAATGGCCGGAACGTAACTGTGAATGGCGAGCGCTACCGTGCGATGATAACAAACTTTTTTTGCCCAAAATGGAAGAGCTAGACTTGGCTGACATGTGGTTTCAACAAGACGGTGCCACATGCTACACCGCACACGAAACAATGGCCCTATTGAGAGGCGAGTTCGGTGAACAGTTTATCTCACGTTTGGGACCCGTCAATTGGCCGCCTAGATCGTGTGATTTAACGCCGTTGGACTATTTCTTGTGGGGTCATGTTAAGGTTAATGTCTACAGGGATAAACCAGCAACGATTGACGCACTGGAAGCCAATATTGAAGCATTTATTCGTGAGATACCGGCCGATATGTTGGAGAGAGTGTGCCAAAATTGGACCTTGCGCATGGGCCATCTAAAGCGGAGCCGCGGCCAACATTTACATGAAATAATCTTTAAACATTAAATTATATCCACGTTCTATCGACTCAAATAAAGATTTAATCGTTTTTTCAAATTTTTTGTTTTTTTTTTGAAAATCGAATCCTATACCTCTTAAAAAATCACCCGTTATAAGAATCAAATTCAATATTTTTAATGTCTGTATAGTCATTGATGGCCATATAGTAATTATAGGGTTATTAATTTCATCAAGGATAGAAATTAGACGTAAAAAGGGTAATGCAATAACAATTAAAATGATTGCTGGAAAGATGGTTCAAATAATTTCAATGGCTAGGCCTCAAAGTACTCGTAAATATCGATGAGCTAATTAATTTACAAATAATATGATTATTAACTGTCCAACTAAAATAGTAATCTATATATATATATAAAACGAATCCCTAGTCACGCCGTAACTTGAAAACGACTTTACCGATTTCATTCGTCTTTTTTTTAAGTTTCCTAATACTGTATAGAAGGTCTTTACGGAAAGGAAAATCAAGAAAATTGCGTTGAAAATTGGGAAATCATTGAAAACCTAATGATTATTTGCATTTGATTTATGACGATTTATTGAGCACGCACAGCAGAAGAAATATCTCAAGTACCAAAAGAGACGTGCACTTCTCTACGCCATATTTACCCCCACAGCTATTGACAGTCAGCTATGGGAGAGAAAATTGCACACGGTGCTTTCGTTTTTGGACTTTCCATTCTTTACCATTCGTACTTTGCGATGACCCCTTCAAAAAGAACTGCAGTGTTGCCTAATTGTTATCTTTGTCAGTTAACTCTAAAAAAATATTTTTTCATTCAATTAGTAGTGCACAGTCCATTCAATTAGAGCTTTTATCCAGTTTTCGATTAGAGTTCACGACAGATCATTGCTATTGGACCAATGAACGTTGTGTGTCCACATCAAAAGGCTTTCAAATGAAGCCCCTGGATAATGTTGCGCCACTGGAAAAGTCAAATTGAGTCCATTCATTGGTACAACCACCAAAGCCACTACATTCAAAGTTTCCGGAAATGGGCCAGAATCTATACATTTTTTGACTCATATCCATCAATACAATAACTGTTTTCAAATGAGGTCATTTGGCGCAACCAAAGTCATGCTACATAATTCTATGTTACTCTCAAGGTAAGTTGATGGGGATATTGCAGTGCTGCCAACGTATTTTGCTAGCCAGATGGAGGTACAAATACTCCGCTATATAATTACCTATCTTCCATATGTTTACCCTTTCATTATTCATTGTTCATCCCAGTTTATAACTAATACAGGAAAACGTCTGTCGCGTCAGCTAGTAATTACTATTTTACTATGAAAGCAAGATAATTGTTTTATGTACTACATTAGAGAAGAATTTCAAATATATGTGGTTTTATTGGCCATACAAACTTGGGGAATTATCGACGTGAAAACCATAGGAAAAGTTTCATATGCTACATTGACGGTAATTTCCAAATATGGCATCAAAACTACTACGATTTGGAATCGCGTGATCTGATTTTTGATATGCTCCTACAGCTACCCAACAATACTTCGCATTTAAATAGAGAAAACATATAACGGCCCTTCTGACTGCTCCTAGACTATACTTCATACTCTCATACTTCATACTATACTTACGTTTCAGAGTTGGGAAGGTGAAAAATATCCTTCTGTATTTTCGTGATATTTGCATTCTCACATAGTATTTTCGAAAGACTGGACTTTCTGATTTCGTTCAGCTGCTCTAAAGTAAAACCCAGCTCTCCAGAGTGTTCATACCAATATCGGTCTCCAACACGAGTACTAAAACAGTAAAAATCTTTATATGTTAACAAATCCTGACATATCTTGACTAATTCTCTGTACAACGTTTATGTGGATTGTTCAGTCCGTATCAAATATGTATGCCGAATCTTCCTGTACCGATCGCACGAGAATGGGTATTGCAAGAGCCATATTGAGACGTATTGATGTAACCATAAAAAAAAAACGCAACCACCTGAGCGTATTTTCGATAGTGCCAGCCTGTTTGAAGTAGCCACCCAATTTGGAATATCCGCTTAAAGACTATCAAGCAAGGAACCCCAAGAGTCTAGAAAGAGAAATCAAAGCGAATCTAATGCCACCTAAGGGAAGAAATTATCTATTTTTTTAACCGGGTTCTAATTGACGGATTCAGCTAAACCAGATCCTTTTTTTACTCTCCAAATGTGGTGCAAAGCCAACCACCAAAGAGTAGTTATACCAAGAGAAGATAAACAAGGCGAATGAATTAAATAGAGACCAGAGATGTGACCCAAAATACAGCGTCCATAAAATAGCTTATAGCATTCAAAAACATGCTGTTCTTAATTGTTGGTGTTATCAAATAGATATAATCCTTCATGGATGAGTTTTTTGTCCATCACTTGTAGTGAAAGCATTTTTCGTTGAAACTTACTTTTGTTTGGACGTTTTGACATTCATGATTCGTATAATTATCATCCGTTTGCAGCCTACTTTACTTCAAAGTAATGAGAGTACGAATCACATTTTTGCCTATTTTTTATATCTTTTTGATGTAACCACTAAAAATCGCGAAACGAACTGAACTACATTCAACTCAGTGTGAATTTAGCGTTTTCTAAACATTTTATGACAGTCTGGCAACTCCGCCTCGGTGCATGCAGCAAAACACGCGTATTTTTGGAATAATGCTGAACTATCCATGAGCGAATCATCAAATCATAGGACGTTCCGCTCATAGATCCGTTTTTTCTATGTTGTCAAAAACTAGTCAAATCTTGCGTGTTTTGATGGCTAACAGCAAACCTGCAGAATTTGTCAATTTTTTATCGTATCATAGCAGTACGTGACGATGTAACCAACAATTTACGTTCGACTACCCTAGTATAATGCAGAGAAATCTCAAGGTCGATGACACGAAGTCTCTTCTCTTAGTATATCGACCCTGTTTTTACATTTGCTTATTCACACTGATTGCAGTTCACTATTATTGATTCACATAGTCTTCTGATTACTCACTTGTAAAACTGCTTCATAAGGATACAGTGGAATGTTGGACCAGCCCAAGTTCCTGGCACATGTTTCTCCAAAGATCCTCCAACAGTCAAATCAACATCATCATGATGATCGTACAGCTCTTTCAAGGACTGAACATGCTAGAAATACATGGTAAAACAAATTGTACAGGGTGATTTTTTAGTGTACATTCGGTCGATAGCTCCGGTATCATACACGGTATCAAAAACTTAATTACAAAAATGTTGTAGTTGAGGTGCAAGTTGTCTAAGTTGAGTGTTTTAAAGATAGAGCTATGTTGTATTTCATATCAAATTGCTTCGTTTGAACGTGCAAGAAAATGTTTGAGTCACCACCCAAAATTTTATACAGGGCTTTTCTTCAATGTCCGCATACCCTTTGATTTTTTGAACGGATCAATCCAAAAAATTAAAACTTGAGGTAATGAAACTGATGCGTGGATACCATATTTTAGAGTAAAATTGACAGATGAAAGAAAAATTATATGAAAACGGCGGTTTTGTGGCACATCATTTTGAAACTCCTGACGAGTTCTTTATAACCCTATAATATAAAGTCAATACCTCTACCTACTACAAAATGGTGGTACATTTAATAATTACTTGAACACAAACCCACTAACATGCATATCTCTACAAATCATTGTAATTCCCTGCCGTATCCACAGCAACAGCGATAAAAACTTGTTTTGTTATTTTTTGTTGTCAGTGACAAGAATAACAGTACGAAAACAAACATCATTGTACTGTTAAAATATTCTTATTTAGTTTTCGGCCATCTTGACATTTTCATCTGTCAATTTTACTCTAAAATATGGTATCCACTCATCAATTTCATTACCTCAAGTTTAAATTTTTTGAATTGGTCCGTAGGGGAGGGGGACATGAAAAAAAAGCACTGTATATGATATATAAAAATATTCTCCAAGTGAAGTGCATACTTTTGGCTACAATTTCTGTGGATAACTTTCTTAAATACCATGTTTAAAGTGCACACTAAAAACTCAAGGCATACAATTTCACCAACAAGAGGTTATTTTAGCGGCCCAAGGTTCCTAGACGGAGGATAAAGGTAATGCAATAATGCTTTGAATAGTAGTTTAGTATAAAACGCTTGATTCAAAACAGTGAATCACAAGCTTACCTCTGTTTCCATCACATCTCCAAAATCTTCAAATTTTTCGGCACTTGAGAGACCACACAGTTTTCTAAGGGCATTGTACGGTGCTAACAGGTGCTCCCTGTTTCTTTTAATGTCAATCACTTTCAGATCCTCTCCGAATTGTTTTCCTTCTTTGAACATATACTTAGTTATCTGAAGAAATGGAAAACCTATTATCAATAGCCTTCACCCAGTTACTTTAACTACGTGTGTGGAAAAGGGGACTTTTCTGAGATTGTACTCAAAATCATATTAACAGACTATTGCCCCAATAGATAAGACAGCGCAAAGTGCCATCTATCTCACCAAAATCTACCACTGTGGAGAGCGCATAGCTGCTATTAGTTGGAACTGTTAGGGATCTCAGTTCACGTTTAACGATTCTGGCTGTAGATGTGAAGTAATTTCCTTCTGTTTAAGGTAATCAAACTGATAATCTCTAAAATGGCGCTGTAGGTAACTAAATTTCACGAAAGGGGCTTTGCAGAGAGATGACATTGCCGACAAACACGGTACTACCGACCCCTAGCTAGAAACTAGTTAATAAACACCAGAAACATATCCTATGGTGTTCATGACTTACAAAAATTGCATCAGCGAAACACAGGCTAGAAGACTTGTTTGCTTTCTGCCTCTGTGACCGTAACTAACAGTATACAACGTTGTCTTATTTGTTTTATAAATCATCAGTACGGTATATAGGAAAACAAAGAAACGAACATGAATCTTCTGTAAAATTCAGTAGTGTAGTGTGCGAAGAGATGATATGGCCACCTATGAGTTGTTCACCAACACAGTACTACAACGTTGTATACGGATGGTTGTGGTCTCTTGCACGATAAACAACAGATCCTTTTCACCCAAAGAGGCTTTGGCTACACTGTCAGGTAAGATGTATCCGCGCATGCTCAAGAAATGACTGGTGGACCAGCGCCACCTTCAACTAACTTAGTTGAAGGTGGCGCTGGGTGGACTGTTCTCGAAATTTTACTTGAAATTCGAATAAAAGTTTCACAGACCTCGTCATCGTGATAATTATCAACACCCATGGACTGCTGGAATGCTAGTCCTCTACCAAGCATATAAAAGTTATCTCCTTTTTCGATGATCTGAGGTCTTCCTATATAATCACTAATACGCAAATCACCTGTCGAATTATGAGTATCGGTTATAAGTCTGTAAAAGATAAGCATGTATTGTAGATTAATTAATTTGAATTTATTTCGAGTTTCAGATCCATAACACAATAAAATAAAGCTCATCTCGTGGTGTTATCATACAACTTAAAGACGTTTTCACAGGGTGCAGCTGATTTCTCGATAACTTTTAAAACAGTTTATGAGACATCTGCCTTCATGTCAATGTCGGTCTGATCACCGAAAAATTATTCAAGAGAAAGAAAAAAACAATCGCGTCAAGGGAGGAAGTAAGGGCAAGGCGAAATAATTTCTTCACATAAGAAACCAAAATTTTGAAAGTAATCCTCCAATAAGAAGGTTAACAGTGGATGACATTAAAATTCTATCAACCCGTTATATAAATTTCACAACTTTATTGAGAAATAAGTAGCCGTCAGTATATCTTCTCATGTTCTTACGGTTCTTAATACCACAATAATCGGCATAATACTGGAAAACGATTTTCAATTTTAATCAATCAATATTTACACCTTAACCCCCTTTAAAACTGAACTATTCCACACCGGCTGTCTATATTACGCTCATCAATCTAATTTTTTTCTTATACACAACAGGAAACTAGATCTTTAAGAGAATTAGTAAAATAAGTATGAACGTGATACATATTCGAATTCTTTGTGATATACAGTGTTAGCAGAGAAAAAAATCGCGTCAGGTATCAAGCATCGGTTCATAATGTTAGACTTCCTGCGAAAGAAGTTTTTCACGAACATGTATAACAACAGAGTGGTCCATCTGGCAGTCTTGCCTCTCCCCAATCCGTCCGTACGATGCGTCAGACGGGGCAGCGCGGATAGCGACAGTAATTTCAGGACACTTGTATGGGGCCGGCACGCCTGCGACGCGTATCTCTATAATTCTCAGTTTTAAGGGAAATGTACGGAGTAAACTATGATGTGTGAAATATGCCCAATAGGCAGAAATACCGAGGTTGAGAGCGTATAAAAATACAAACCTCAAAAAATTCAGATACACTGTTCCCCATTCCTTACAGCCCAAATCCGTAATTTTTGGCCACTACAAATTGTTTTCTCGAAATAGTCAGAGGCCCCTGAAACCCATTTCTACTTTTTCGTTTTTTGACCTGTAGCTCTTCTGCCATTATACCAATTTTAAGAAATGTAAAGCCTTTTAATACTAGGTGCAGTAGTAATCTTGTGTGGAAGTTTCCTTCTGGCCTGGGGAGTACTTTCCGAGGTATGGACATGCCAAGAATTAGCGAACAAACAGACAGACACGCTGACAAAATAAACTAAGCCTAAAATACTCATCAGGGTATTATTGGGAAGGATTGGAACTTGAATTTAGATACTTGGCAACCCCACAAATAATATTTGTTACCGAGTTGAGCTTAGAGAAAAGCTGGTAAACAACCAACAAAAACAAGGCCTATCTGAGCGCGCACTGAAATTTGAGGACATACCTATTTTAATTTTCCTTGACATAGTCACTGTCTCCATTTTAGCGATGATTTATTCCTTTGTCGGTCATCATTTCCAGATTATTTCAAGTGATCGTAAAATTTAATTTAAATAAATTTTAACAGAATGATGCAACTTGAGCTATCGCATAATCCGCAGATAATATATGATTTATAGACTTAGAAGCAAACTTAAGATAAACGATAATTATAAATATACTTATTGCTCACGAATGACTTTTATGATATAGAGAGATCAATGGCCGAGACGGAACCTCGCACTCATGAGACAAAATCCCCAATTAGATCTTTGTTTATAACCACATTTGTTGTACGCCCCCCAACATAAAGTAGAGAGTTGACGGCAGGTAACCCCGTGTTTTATTTATACGTCTTTTCAACAAACTATAAAAATATTATTTGGCTCTGGACAAAGGTTGCTTAGGATTTTCAGATCATTCTGAGCAAAAAGGTTTTTAGTATCTTGTCTCTAAGGCTGGAGGTATTCCACTTATATATGAAAAACAAATGCTTGAAAACTGGGTTTATAACAACAAGTCATTATTGAGGTTGCCAAGTTCCTGGATAACAGTCTTTATCTACAAGGAGCTGAATCGTACCTTAGGCTTAGTTGATTTTAAAGCGATTTTTTAACTTGCTTGTTAGACCAACACGAGATGAACTTTTGATTTCCGCAAGATGTACCACTATCGTAAAGTTTTACCTACTTCAAGTGTCCGGCGATCTGCGTGTGATAATATCTGAACGCTGCATTGCCATGTTCATCAAGAGCTGTTGCGTCGACGTCTTCATTGTAGTCATCAATATAACCATCGGCATCGTATATGATCTTCTTTTCTAGCATATTCTTCCTACCCAGCACAATGGGCAGGTATTGGTAGAACGCAATATGTTGGTGCTGTGCTATGTTGATCTTTCTAGCCTCTTGGTACACCTTCTCATCGGTCCAATTTGGATTGAGTTGTAAGAGTTTCCTGGCAATTCGGTTGTGTTCTCTGATGAAAAGTATGTGCATCATGGCAAGCTGGGGATTTTGGTTTGCTCTAGTGTCGCCTACACGAGAGTTCCATATTAATTTAAGAGCAACAAGGTACATTTTATTCACCTACTATTAACTTTTTTCTTATATCAAGCCAGAAGGTTTAGCCTTCATTCGTCCAGATTATTCTGGGAAACTTTTGACTTGACTACTTAAAACAAAAGTGATTTGATAATATCACGATAAAAAGTGGTTAGACTTCTTTGTAGATACTAATATTACGATAATAATAGTACGTACATACCTAGTTTGGGGAGTGGATATAATGTGGGAGTCCAATGATGGACTTCTCAAGCGAGGTATGTGTACAACTTTTGCACTACTAACACTGTACATATAAAAATATTTGATTTTACTTCATCATGACGTTACCAGCTCATTCCACAAATACTGGTATCAGCCTGACAAAATCAAAGAATGCAACAACAAATTTGGTTTCGGCTGGACCATCTAAGGGAGCAAGGTAAAAATTTCTCTTTTTTCTTAACATTAAAAGCAATTTCCAACTTTATATCGATTATTGTGGTATTATTTGCTTAGAGAGAAAAATGCAGCTTTTTAGGTTAGCAGAGAATATGCATCGATATTTTCTCATTTACGTGTTCAGCCTTTACTAAAACAATCAAATCCAGCGTACCCACATCGTAGCAGCTTTCTCCAGGTTCTCTCATATCACTGCAGTTATCACCAATTGTTGGCTTTTTCAGCAACTTTGGAAATTCCTGTCCATTCCTCATTTCTGTTTTCAAAAGTCCTTCTTTAAATACCCTAATGTGATCGGCAACTTCTTTGTTATTGCCGTAAATGACAGACAGGTCAAGGTAAGAGGTCACTGTCGTTTTCTGTAAATATAGGTTAAAGAAATAATAGTAACTTGTGTGTACTTTCTATGAAACATGAGCGTTCCTAAGATTAATAGACGTTCCGACATCTGTTTTACACAGCATCTACAGTTGAGGACCATTCTCTCCAAAGCGACTGGAAGCCGCAACCCAACGACAATGTGACTATTTTGATTTATATATTCCGACTACCACAAACGTCTAAGGCCTAAATACCCGTTGGGTACCGTGGGGCTATAGGAGGATACAGGGGAAAGGGGGAACGCCACACGGACTCTGGCGAGGGAACACGTGTGCATGCAACACGCACACATTCTGGCCCCGCATACGAGATCCGCCGGGTGGTACCTCTGCGCTGGACAGTCAGAGACCGTCTACCACCTACGGACAATCACAGCATCCATAGCCAAGAGAAGAATTTCTCTTGGGACGGGATTCGAACCCGCACAGCGCACGGCGACTGATCAGGAGACCGAAGAGTCTACTACTGCGGCCACCGCTGCTGCGTCGCTAATCAGTTTGCAGTTGCCTACCAGTTGATGAAAGATTTTATGCGTGGATGTCTGTGTGTAGCTATCCATCGCGTTTCTTGTACATATTTATTGATCCTTTTAGAATAGCCTGCATTAGAAACCCTCCAGATGAGCTACAGATGACACAGGAAAAATCTGTCGTGTGACAGCAGAACCTAGTAAGTCACTTTTTATCAGGTTTGAGAAATAACATATTTTCAATAAACATTCGGCTTTCGAAAAGTTTAAGTTTTATGAATATTAAAAAAATTGTCTGAAGGGTTATGTAACTTGCTAAATTCGATAGCATCAATTTTATTCATGTGATAGTTTTGTTTATGGTAGAAAAGTGACTTACGTTTTTTTTTCATGGTTTCTTTTTCGATATTAAATTAAGATACTTTAGCAGAAAATGGTAAGTCAACTTACTGATTTTTACAAAATTTCGACTAGAGAAAATAAAAAAAAAAAGATATTGTAAGTGTACTTACTAAGGTTTTATTTGATATAATTTATGTGCGAAGGCGAACACAAAAAGTAACATATCTACTTACTAACTGGAAAATAAACATTTGAATGAAAAACGGTGGAACATAAAACAGCAAGTCTACACACAAGAAGAACAAGAACTTAAGCGCTAAGCCTCTGATACCACACATAAGTCTTTGGAATTATCATTAGATGGCAAAAACTGCCAAAATAGTTTCTTTCTTTCATCTTTGAAGGATGGTACCAATTTTTTTAAAATTGTTTCTCTTTTTTCTGAGTTCAATCCCAGTGGCTCGACAAAAGGATGTATAGGGAATTTGAGATCAACTTTTTTTTCCAAAAACTCGACTTCCTGAAAGACAGTTTCATTATGGCATTCTTTATAAAACAAGTGTCTGCATCCTTTGCGAAACTGAGCGAGCTTAATTTTTTTCAAGAAGAGGTATATTATTGCTTTTTCTTTGTTTGCTTCCATCTTCAAAGAGAAAAAAATCAAAATTATTTATAGGCAAACATTTAGTTTTTTTTGAGGACTGCTCAATTATTTTCAGAAGCTGTTCAAAATCATAAATGTTTGGGTGTTTTTTCATTTCTGTGCTGATTCGGCCATGAACCGAATCCGCAGCCATAAATGAATGGCCTGGTTCAAAATATTTTAGGGTGATCTCTTCTGGACCCCATTCACAATTTACAAAAGTCGCAAAAGCAGAATATAGTGTCCAATTCTTGTTCTGAGCAGAACAGTTGTCTACCCAGAATGTAAATTTTTTGGTAACATTGTCTGAATTTTTTATTACGTTGTAGTATGCCGATGCAACATCCGTCGCGGACCTGCCTCTTATAGCCTCATGCCACATCACGCAAATATTTCCGTCCTTATGAAGTGACGCAAACGTCTCATTGAATACGACCAACCTGCAACAACAAATATAGAAGTATATAAAAGTTTAATACAATTATATATAATTATAAACGAAGTACCTTGAAACAAAAAAAGATTCCTTGGTTGACATTTTGGGCAAGAGTAAGACTTTTTGCATATCTACAGCATAGACCTTCTCGTCTTGCATTACCTCTTGATTGGAGTCATTTTCATAGTGCTGTCTTGCTTCCGTATAACTTTTTTTGTGTTTTTCGAATTGACAACAAATCTTGCAACTACTTGCGTCGCATTGGCGAATAATGTGAACTTTATGTTTTAGACACTGAGCGCATTCGTCTTGGGATGGCTTTTTAAACCCAATATTCTGTTTTTCAAAAATTCTTCTGTATAGATCATATGAAATTTTCTGTAGATTACAGAAGTCTTGCCACATGTATTTAATGGTCAAGTCAGGTGGCAAGAATCGTCTATTCGGGGTGTGCTTTAAATTATAGTGAGATACTGCCGGATTGAATGAGTTTATATGCTTTATGACAATTTCCTCTGTTCTCATTTTTTGTTCTTCTAGCATGCCTCTAATAACTAACCCCCTTTCATCCACTGTTTGTGCAATTCCTTCTACACTTCGCTTTTTGGAATGTATATGGCAAGTTATCATACCATCTGTTTTAAGTCCTAAAGTATGCAAAAACATTGTTTTGCACACTTGTATTTTTTCAAATTTAGCTTCAGTTTCCACTGGAAGGGGTAGAAAATATTTCAGAGAAACATTCCTGGAAGAGCGCTGAGCCTCTTGCCGCCTTACTTTGATTTCAAATTGTTTGATATGAGCATCCAAAAAAGTCTACGCTCGCCAAAGCTGAGTCTCCAGAATTTCGTTCTTATCAATTCTCTAAAGTTCTCATCATTGATTTTTGAGCTACATTTCTGCCTGCAATTATTATGGCATGATAGCAGTAGGGGGTGCTTTTCTTGCTTGTCTGGCCTTTCTTGGGAAACTCTGCAGTTTGCATTCACATTCTCGTTGACTTTTTTCAAAGGCTGCCTGTTTTTGAGGGGCGCAAGCGATACGTCATCAAAGTCCGAAAATTTAATTTTTTTCCTTCTAGGGGATACTGACGGCTCATAATTTGGGTCTGCATCAGAATCGTCATAATCTGATATAGGTTCTTCATCATTTTGCTGACGCTCTTCGAGAGGTTCATTTCTGAAAGATAAAATAAATAGAGGTCAGCGGTTTGAATATATATTTCAAATACGAAAACCGTATTGCAAGAATTAGCTTTTTGTTTGTAGTAATTATAATCTTTTATTTTACTGAAAAAAAAACATCAAACTGCAATGTTACTCCTGAGTTAATATTTCATTTGGCTTATATGTAATGTATGATGCTTGCACTCACCTCTCTGTAATGCATAAACTCGTTATGAATTTTCCTCTCGACATATTCTGGATATTAACTACAGTACTAACGTTAAACTAATTCGCGACTGTCCTCACCGATCCATACTCTATGCCAGTTGGAACATGACTGCGGAAACGCTGTAGCATGCATCCGTGCCTACACTCAATCGGCTTGAAATTATGGCATGAAAATTTAGCAAAAACTAGCAAGTGCGTTTACGACGGAGTCTCCCGCCAAATTTCCTACAAAAAAAATCTTCAAAACGTAGCATGTAGACATGCCATCATTTGTTGATTTTTTAAATGCTGTTCTGATGACTTACTAGGAAACATGAGACAAAGATATACGATTTAGAGTGCGTCTGAGCGAGAGAAAAAAATTCAACTAGTAGAACTTTTTACGGGCTTTTCAAAAATGACGTAAAAATGTAAAACCTAGTAAGTCGACTTACTAGGTTCTGCTGTCACACGACAGAAATGTACATGGTATTACATTCTTGAGATCGATCATTGTATTTGTTATGTACTGGGTGCTGTTAATAAATATAATATCATAAATAGAAAACGCAGAAAGAAAACCGAAGTTATGACTGCGATATGTAGGCAACACCTTCCAATGGAATCACCGTTATCTTTAGTCGCGGCTAACATAAAATGGTTCGAGTTAATGGCCATGAAAAACGCAGAAAGAAAACCGAATTTATGGTTGCGATATCTGAGCGATACCACTAACACCTCAACAGCCTGAGGCCATTGATTAAGTTCACGATAGAAGAGAAAGTAGACAACAGCCTGCCATACCTACGAGCCCCTTCCCACTTCAGTTGGCCCAAGTATTGAAATCTCAGTTTTTTTTCTTATCAAACACAAATAATAAAAATGTATCAGGGTGTTATATGTTTAAAATATTAACAATGAATATTTTGATAATATATAGTAGAAAACACCAACTTTATCACTCCCTAATCAAATTTGCAGCATAAAAATAACACATGTTGCACATTACAGCATATCAACCTATTTTCATTTCAATGCAAAATAAGTCTATAACGCATAGGTGACTGTGAAAAATAAAAGCCATGACAATTGTTTTTATTAATCACAGCTGTCAAAATACGTTTAAAATAGTTTTGGGTAATTAAGGTTTTCAAAATGGGTAGAGGAAAGGTTATTAGTGAGAAAATTCGGTTACTGATAATTAAATTTTTTAATTCTGGGAAATCAAACTCAGAAATTGCAACTTTGTTAGACTTATCGCGGTACAGTGTGAGAAATATTGTTAGAAGATATAACGTAACTGGTTCAGTTAATATTAAGCCACGATATGTGAAAAAAGTAATATCACAAATGCCGACCAAAGAGCATTAAGAAGAATAATCGTGAAAAACCGGCGTGCCAATTATTTACAATTAAGTGCTCTGTGGAGTGATGCTGTTGGAAGGAGAATTTCGAGGTCCACAACTCATAGAGAGGCCCACAAACTGGGATTTAGCACTTGCAAGGTAAGTTTTCTTATAAAAACAGTGAAGTAAAAACCCTAAAGCTGCACAACTTGTTTATAGGCCAAAGAAAAGCCACCATTTACTCCACTGCAAAAGAAAAATCGGCTTAGATGGGCTAAAGAACATAGACAATGGACACCTCAACAATGGCGTGCAATACAATGGAGTGATGAGGCCCGATTCGAAGTTTGTGTTGCTGACAGTCGCAGTAGAGTTATTCGCAAAAAAATGAAGCATTCCATGTTGACTCTCTGAAGAGGAAAGTGAAATTTCCAGCATCCGTCATGGTCTGGGGCAGTATGTCATCAAAAGGAGTAGGAAAACTTCATTTTGTTGATGGAAATGTGGATACAAACAAATATTTGGCAAGTAACGGATGTCCAAGAAGAATAGTAGAAGAAGTTATGCAAGAGGATTCTACAATCAGGAGAAGGATGCGGGATGAATAGCAATAGCCTCATAATGCAGTAAGTGAACATCTAGTATAATAAAAAAGACAGGAAGTAACACATCGAATCCAAATGCTCAAGGAATACGACACTACGGAGCATTCCCACAAAAACCAAATCCAGGAATAGAAATCAGTATACCAAAAGCTGCATTAATCTGGTCTCATATGGATGTGGAAATATGTATATCGGGAAGACGAACCGGCTGTGAGGACAAAGGAGCACCGACTTCATACCAAACGAGCCGAAACAGAAAAATCCGGGATAACCCAACACGCATGGATAGGACATAAAATAAACTGGAGAGACACTAAGATCCATAAATAAGCACACTGCTATAGCCAAAAATTCAAGGAGGCAGCGTACGTATCCAGCAACCGTAACATGCTAGCATAAAGGTCAAATCAATAAGGGAGCCTATCATGAGCAATATCAAGACCCTACGGTTATAGCAACCAGGGCAGACCTTCCTAACAACAGGTTACGACCACGGACGTCATCACATAGGACTCGTCAACGATAACACTATAAATAGCTGTGGAAGGAACATGTGGTCCAATTCATCTGAAGATAACTTATCAACCGAAGCGTTGCGATCTATAAAATTGTATAGACAATGGAATTCCGACTTTTCAAATACTGAAACATTATGTTGATTCATTGATATGATTAGATTTTATTAGTAGATATAATACGTTATGTGATTCTTATTAAGTCAGGCTGTAACGGAAGCCGGCCATTTATATTCCTTCTTCCTATTACTAGGTATGTAGTTAGTGGCTTTATGCACAACCTCAAAATAAGATTGCGCGACAGTTGCTTTTGGTGAGAATGGCGCTCTAGGTTTTGGTGTTGTTTTAGTTGAATGCTCTATGTATATCCTCACCTGCTTGTTACCATTTAGTAAAGGCATGATACGATCACTTATATCATGAGCAACGACTTGTCCATACTGCATACTTGCCAAACTATAATCTTTGTCTATTATCGGCTTGCTTGGATAAAGCTTTTCGCTTATCATTTTTGGAAGAGGCAAAGCTGATTGGTTTCGAGAATCTAAAAATAGAAAATGCGGCTAAATAAATAGATGAGAAACAGTTCCTGCCCTGTCTGATTATTGTTTCCTAGAATACTTCTGGCAAGTAAATATATTTTTGTTCATAGTTATCTTACCATCAGATGGAATCAACCTTGCATAATAACTGTAAGCCATTCCTCTAGTAGGTACTTTTAAATTGTTGCAGTAGCCGTTATAGCTTCGATATTTCAATTTGGAACAGCTTCGTACGGAATCTTCCAATGGGACTTCCATTTTATCTGATTGTTGCACATGATTTCTGCAAATCATTTATTATACATAAAACTTGCTTCACTTCTTAGGTCAATCACGTAGGCTTGAAACAATCATTTACAGGTATTTTTTGATCTCATACAAAAACGCTCCCGTTAAAATAGAACACTGAATCTGCACTTCAAGGCACTGTCAAACAAAGATGCCAAATCCTAGCATAACTACCGAAAAAAATATAGCAGGTCATCTTGATGACGCTGTTTCCATGATGCAAAAAGGTGATCTTAGTAACTTTTGTAGTAAGAAGTGACAAAATATCCTTTTTCCACTTATATCTGAGGTCTTAAATCGCTTATGACTAGACCATCAACCTGATGCAAAAACCGTATAGCAGATAAGACTCTGCGAATTGTGCCTACAACCATCGCTGATACGTCTGCAAAGGATTTGTCTACTTTAGATCTAAACCAATTCAAGAAGCTAACGCATTGCAAACTATTGAAATCAAAAAAGATATGTCTGCGGTTATCAAATATCTGTTACAGTGCTTGAACCAAAGTTGAAGTTGAATATCCACAAATTAGGGTACGAACACTTGAAAGAAAGCTTCGGAGAAATAATATTATTATACTAAGTGACATATAAATCCGAACACCCAGTTTAAATGGTTTTATTTCAATAAAAGTTGGTGAATGTATTTATCTTACTGTAAATAACAAGTGAAAAAATTTTCAGCCTTATCAGTTGAACATTCCGGTTTTTATACTGCTATTTTTTAATTCACTAACGCTCTAAAAATGAATATTTCAGCCGCAGTAAAGAATCAACGTTGGCGAATTTTGGTTCTTGACATCCTTTACGATCGGTTGCGATGCCTAGAGTACGGAGACATGTACGATTTCGTCAACTTAGTGAGTTTGATAGGGGCCGTATAGTGGGACTAAGGGAAGCTGGACTTTCTTTTCGGGCAATTGCAGTTAGAGCGCAAAGAAGTGTAGACACTGTGGTTAGGTGTTGTCAGGCATGGCTTCGAGAAGGCCGTACACAAAGAGCAAGGGGCACTGGACGCCGCCGTAGAACAACAGACCGTGAAGATCGCCGCCTAAGATTATTGGCCTTAAGGGACCGTTTCTCCACTACCAGGTCCATTGCAAATGAATGGTTTGCAGAACACGGAAGACCTATTGGCATGCGAAGTGTTTACCGATGAATGAGAAGTTTTGGCTTGTTTTCATACCGGCCACACTGGGTCCTCCCTTTAACTCGAGAACACCGACGTAATCGCCTTGAGTGGTGCAGACAACGGTCCCTCTGGGATCAAGAATGGAACAGTACTGTCTTTAGTGACGAGTCTCGATTTTGTTTAGGCATGCACGATAGTCGTGCCAGGGTTAGAAGGCGACGTGGTGAAAGGAGAAATCCACAGTTTTTTGTTGAAAGACATGTTCATCACACTGTTGGAGTTATGGTTTGGGGTGCTATAGCTTATGGTTCCAGGTCACCTTTAATCCTTATCAGAGGTAACATGAACGCGCAGCGTTATATACACGAAGTTCTAGAACCCCATCTTACCCTATCTTGACACCCTGGCAGATCCAACTTTCCAACAATATAATGCCCGACCACATGTTGCAAGAGTCACAATAGACTTCTTTCAACATAATGATGTCACATTGTTACCATGGCCACCAAGATCTCCCGACTTATCCCCAATTCAGCACGTGTGGGATATGATGGGTAGGAGATTGCTCAATTTGCAACGTCCTCCTCAGACTCTAGAAGCACTTCGAGAGGAGTTGGTGGTTGCCTGGAATGAGATACCACAGGAGGACATTAACCACCTGATCAGAAGCATGCCTAGGCGCGTTGGAGAATGCGTAGCACATCAGGGTGCATCCACACATTATTAAAGGTCAAAGGGCTTTAAAGCAGTGCAATCATTTTGAATTTTTTGTCATTTACTTACTATGCTTCATTAAGTACTTATACAAAATTTTATTAAAATAAAACCATTTAAACTGGGTGTTCGGATTTATATGTCACTTAGTATATTTTTGGGATAAAAAGTGACAACAAAGCTGATCTCGCATTAGAAATTACAATGAAACTGAATACTATATGGAAATTAAGCTTGATTAAGGAATATTTCAAAATCGTACACCGTCTAAAAGCGACAGGAGCAGGTGTTTCTATTGATATATACGAAGATAGGCAGGAACAAAAAGTATTGGTGAAGCATCTCATCAAGCCACAAGTTGGAACCTTGGGGCAAAAATCAATAGACACAGCTTGGAAGCTGACAATTTTATAATTTGCCTTCAAGATCAAAATAATCTGCGCGAGAGACAAGAAGTGCCTTCGCCAAACAAAATTAATGTAATTAAAAAATGTGTGTTCATTTTGTTTTTCAATAGGTATATTAAACCAAATTGCCGTCCTGACCTTAATTTGAGAGTTATAGCTTTGAATAAAAATAAGTAGTATTGGTAGCGCCTTATACATGGATTCAATAAGTTAAAACTGCAAGTGAGTGGTAAATTTGATAATATCTGAATCTCTGAAACATGTCTGAATACACATCTTTCAGGCTGTTATAGCTCTTACAGGTTACACATATCGGCGTGACAGCGAAGGCAGGGTGGGGGTATAGCTGCCTGTGCCGGGTGTTTCAAATTCGACACTCACTTTCAGAGAGAGACGAAAAAAAACGAATTTTCAAAAAATTGATTTTTTCCTGACTTTATTCGTAATGGGATTTCGAAATAAATTGCAAATTAACATTGCCACTTTTTCTCCCACACAAAACGGCGTAATTAGAATTTCAATATGACGTTTCATTTCTGGTCCTCCAGCTCAACTGTTATGTTTTCTTATAGACACGATTTTTGCACAGGTAAATAAAGTTTTTAACTCTGATTCCAAAAATGTATAATATTTCGTACACTGGCATTGTCAAACCTTAGTTATTTTAAAAATACATAATTTCCTAGGTAGGCCTTTAAATTATTAGATCATCAACGTATATAAAAGTATATAAAACTCAAAAATAAGTGGATTTAAGACGCTTTATGCATACAGGTCCGCCATGTTGGATCCGTCATATTGATTTTTGAAGAATCAATACTACATCCGTTATAAGCGACTCCTAGAACACACCAAACTCAAATTGGAGAACAATCGAAACATTTTTTGCAAACGTATCCGCCAAGTTCGACCAGCCAATTTGATTTAAAGAAAAATCGACATTTAATTAGTTACCAGCGACCTCAAGGACATTAGAGAACCCGAACATGAGAGAAATCCTAACGTTTTTCAAACATTTCGCCCATATTCAATCCGCCATTTTTGTTTTCGGAAGCGACCTCGTAAACATGCAGATGATGCTTCTGATGAATATTTTTAGTTTTGGTCATGTTTTAGGACTTTTGCGCAGCTGTGAGTTAAGAACCGATCATAAACACGAACAAGACTTTCTGGTAGACCTAATATTTTTCCAGACTTGCCATAATAGGAATGGCAATTAATGAAATGCGTACGGAGAGCCTCATCTATGTACTTGACTCCCCATAGTATGTATTTATGTTAGCTTGTGTGGGGCAAATTTTGGAACTAAATGATATGGGTACCGAATAAATAGTCTTGATGAGACAAATACAATAAGCAAAGTGAAGTGATTCTTAATCCAATATAGCCATCGACCGAGGAGGGTGTTTATAATTGTCATAGTGACTCCTCAGCATGTGTGGGACAAATTTTGACAATACCAAACTAATTAACTGCCGTCATTTTGAATCCAATCCAACTCTTGATGAGACAAACAAAGTAAAAAAGACCATTTTTATTTTTGACAGTCACTCCTATGGTATGGATATCAAATGAAGGGACTTGATGAGAGGAACACAATAAGCAAAGTGAAGTAATTCCTAATCCAATATGGCGACCGCCCGGGGATGGTGTGTATAATTATCATAGTCACCCCAATTATATTGGTATCAAATTGAACATCTTTATGAGAGAAACATAAATAGCAATGCGATGTCGTTCCCCGAGTCATTCTGAATCCAACATGGCGGCCACCATAAAAGGGCGATGTATAATTTCCATAGTCACCGCTATGATATGGGTATCAAATAAAAGGGCTTAATGAGAGGAACATAATAAGCGAACAAAGTTATTCTGAATTCTATAACGCGATCGTCGCAAAATATCGATTTATCATTATATCATTTATATCTACCAAATTGTAGGGAAACCTATCAAGAAAATATATGAAAGTTATATTGAAATTATTAAACTAGTTATTTGGCATCATAAATAATACTAAAAAGTAAAAAATTAATAAAATAAATTTATAGTATAAATTTTCCGACTGTAAGTATTTGAGCGATAATGAACCTCCTTCATCTCAAGTTTTCAAATAAAAACGTGTTACATTCATTCAAAAGCTATATTTCCAAACGAAAAAATATTCTTAAATATTCATTTCTAATACAGCCAAGTGAAAGCTCTTTTTTAAAAATGTATTTTTACAAAAGCCATGTTGCCACGAATATACACTTCCTACCTGTCAATCTCTTTGAATTGTGCTGCAAATGGACACTGTGACAGAACGACAACAGGCAGCAAAACAAAAACCATCAAATACAAATGCTTATTATCCATAGCTTCAGCAGCACTAGGAACACCTACAATATCACAGTAGATTGGTGATTACGTTTATCAAGAAGCTCAGGAAAACATTGTTCATATTTGGTTAAATATTATGCTGCGATAATTTGAATCAGGAAGCGTAACATTAATTAGAGTAATGAATATCACGTTATCAATGATGCAACATATGCACGGTTTAATTGTGCGAATATTTTTAGTAAGTTGTATTAGTCGTTACATTGAATGAACAAGGAATTTCGAGTTGATTGCGCATTAGTAAAATAAATATATCAGACTGTTCTCATCCTAATGAACAATACATAATATACTAAGTGACATATCAAATGCAAAGCCCAGAACTATTTATTGAACTTTGATAAAACCTTGTAACCATATTTGCTATCATAGAAGTATACGCTGATAAAAAGCTGAATTCATTCCTAGCCGTACCTACTCTTTTTGTAAAGGCTTTTTTGTCATAATATCAGGATCCGTACAATATGAACATGTTTACTGAATATTCAGTGATTCTTCTGTATGGGTACGACTTGTTTCATTGTTGTTTCATTGCATTATCATGCCTCACACTTTCCGAGTTTGAGAGGTGTTGGGTATTCGTTCTACCTGGAGTCGGATTTTCTTTTAGAGAAATTGCTAATCGGATGAATCAAAACGAATCTACTGCAATGAGATGTGCTCGAGCGTGGTTCCAAGAAAGCCGAAATCGACGAGTTAGAGGTACTGGACGTCAAAGTACAGACTACAACGCGACAGGATCGTTATTTGAGGCAACCAGCACACAGAGATCGAAAGGGCAGTTGCGAACCAGTGGTTTGTTGCTATCGGAAGGGCAATAACAATGAGGACAGTTAATCGCCGAATAAGGTCTTTTAGACACACAGAATTGTCGGCAACGATTGGTATGGAGTAGGGAGAGACTTGAATGGAATATGGAATGGAACTCAGTCTTGTTCAGTGATGAGTACAGAATCTGTTCGGACACACATGATGACCGTGAAAGAATAAGAGACGTGCTGAAAGACGGAACGTGCAATATTCCGTTGAACGACATATTCATCGCACTGTGAGTGTTACGGTGTGGGGTGCTTTGCTTACCGCAGCATGTCACGAGTAGTGTTCGTTCGAGGTAGCACTTTCTATGTATCAGTAGACCTAAAACTTGTAAACGTGCTCAAAAGTACAGCACTCCTAGTCGGTGTTGCATTTTCTATGTCATTTAGTATTATTGTAAATATTTTATTACTTTTTACCCAGTGTTATAATTCCTATTGTATCGGACAAGACATTATTTTTTTAAGATGGTGCCTTTTGGTATCCATGCCAATAGTGTAAACATTGCTTTTCAGAATGGTAGCCCTCTTACTTGGAATTGATCAAAATAGCCACTCTGGGTAATGAAATTGTTGCATTAATACTATATTTTAACGTAAAAGCAAAAATTCCAAGATGGCAGGAAGCCATCTTGGAGCACTTCGTAAATCTAAAATCTAAATGTGGTATCTCTCAAAATGGCGAACTGGCCAAGTGTCAAAGCCGAACGTTTTTATACACTGAATTACTTACAACTAACTATCATACAAACGCTATAGCATATTATCTCAATCTTCTTCTTTTTGAAGGATCTATCTGGAACGGCAATAAACTTTGGGACATTCAGTTGGAAACTGACAGTTTTCGAAAACTTTCCTACAACTAATGCTCTATGCTTAATTACGTATTTGCATCAATACTTCCAAAAGAGTACGAGGCATCACATGACCTCCACTCTATTTATAACATTGCATGGTATCGCCCAGCCGAGATTTTGAATTTTTATTGCCACCTTCACTACAGTAATTTATGCATCGATTTTGTCTCACCAAATTTGAGCCTGTTAACTTGATCCGCTTAAAAAATTAAATTGACATATCTCACACATACCTAAGCTGAAAATAGAGCAAAGACTGATAGCTTCGCATTCGCTTTTCAATTTTTCTAAGATGCCACTGGTGGTTTATGAATTTAAAATACACTTTTAGTGCCTCTTGCACCTTTTGTGCATCTCAGTGATTCAATTTTTTGATGAAAACTATATATTTATTGAACACGTTATCAATTTGAGGTTATTCCAAAAGGTGACATAGAAGTTAATTAGATGAATAACATTTTTTCAAATCTGTTTGTGCATTTTTAGTGAAACATAGTCATTTTTTTTTATCGATCTCCCAAAAAAGATTCTCATAAATCCAATTTTTGATCATCCTACCATGGGTTCTCATCCACATTTTATGGAATCAAATTTTAGCACCAATCTGGCAGACGTAGTAAGTAACAAAATTTCAATCAATTGAGATTGGCTGCCAATTATTATTTTTTTAAATTTGTTTTCAGGTGCTCCAAGCTGGAATTGTAAGTTACACTTTGCATAATTTGTCGATTTCCACAAAGACGAGTCTTCCACTTAAGTGGCTATTTTCGTCAATAACTATTAATATATATATATATATATATATATATACAGGGTGTTTCAGTTTATTGTTGCATAACTTTAAGATTCGATAGAACTTTTAAAATTAATGCATAAAGTCTATATAAACATGGGTCGAAAAATGCGTGGCTTCCGAAATACAGGGGGTTTAAATTTACTTTCTAAAATAGTTTTTTTTAATATTTCGAACAGTATTTGATGTATAACAGTGAAAATTGGTATACAACGGTTTTTTGGTACGGCAAAACGAACCCTGGGCATAGTTTTACTGTAGCCGCTAGAGGGCGCTCTCTACTGTACCTGTAGTGTATTAAAATGACCGAACATTTTTTCTTAAAGCAATTTTTTGCTTTTTGAATAAAAAAACTGATTCTTCGCACTTTTCGACATAAAGCTCTCTTGTAAATTTTCGTTATAGTTAGCCGTTTTTGAGATATTTCGATTTTTAAGGTTCGATGCATTTTTAATTATTTATGATAAAATAACGTTAAAAAGTCAGTATCTCGATAATTTTTAGAAGTAGGCTGTGCCTGCAAATATTTTTGAAATTGAAAGCAGAATAAGGTTAAACGTCAATTAGTTGACAGTTAGTTTTGTTGTCTGTTGAAACCTGAAACGTTTTTTTGCAATTGTGAATGCACGAAATTTAGTTTCTTTTACCTGTTTTTTTGTAGGTTTTATAAAAATGCCATTTTTATTCTCCAATCAAGAGTTAGCGGATATTCATTTTGTGTATGGCTTTGTAAATGGAAACGCAGCAGAAGCAGCCAGGGAATACGCACGAAGATTTACAAACAGACGACATCCAACTCGCTCAGTATTTGTAAGAGTGCATCGCCAAATAATTGAAAATGGTTCTCGAAATCTCGAAAGGAATCAAAACATAAATGTTCGTCAGCGCAGATTTACCCGTATGATTCTGCGTGAGTTTGATAGAGACGTCTTTACCATTTGCAACCTGTGCAAGGACTACAGCCAGGGGACGGAGAACGAAGAATCACATTTTGTCAGTGGATTCTTGATAGAACTGATAATAATAGGGAGTTTTTAAGTAACGTTTTATGAACCGATGAGACATGCTTCACTAGACGTGGAGTGGTAAATTTTCATAATTGGTCACAAGAAAATCCGCATGCAGTTCGGAAAAGAAATTTTCAGCTTGAATTTAGTGTGAACGTGTGGATTGGTATCTACCGTAATCGACTACTTGGACCCTACCTTCTGCCTGCAAGGTTAAATGCTGCGACCTTCTTGCAATTTTTAAAGGCTGAACATGCAAATATGTGGGATGATGTTATGTTAGATTTAAGAAGATTGACCTGGTTCCAGCTTGATGGTTGTCCAGCTCATTATTCGAGAATAGTTAGAAACTGGCTGGACGAAAATTATCCAGAAAGATGGATCGGCCGTGGAGGACCAGTCACCTGGCCTCCACGATCCCCTGACCTAAATCCATTAGATTTCTTTGTGTGGGGATTTCTAAAAGAAAAAGTGTACCAGACTCCCGTAACCAGAAGAGATATGCTAATAGACAGAATCAGGAATGCATGTGATGCAATAAGGCCTTATTTGAATAATGCTATACCACGTTCGATCATTCGTAGATGTGACTTGTGTATTGAACAATTGGGTTTACATTTCGAGCAACTACTTTAGATTTTCTATGTTTGTCCTAACTATCCAATAGCATTTTAGTTGTAAATAATTAATCTAATTTGTTAAAAATAATATTGGAAAATTAAACAAATTAATATTCTGTTTTTTTTGCTTTTATTTGGAGTTAGGAATTATTGCTGTGTTTAAAAATACAATCTAAACGATCATCTTAATTACTTGTAATGCCCAAATCGAAAATGTAAAAAAAAATATTATTTTCCCATAAATAATTAAAAATGCATCGAACCTTAAAAATAGAAGTATCTCAAAAACGGCTAACTATAACGAAAACTCGCAAGAGAGCTTTTTTATGCAGAAAAGTGCGGAAAATCAGTTTTTTTATTCAAAAAGCAAAAAATTGCACTAAGAAACAATTTTCGGTCATTTTAATACACTACAGGTACAGTAGAGAGCGCCCTCTAGCGGCTACAGTAAAACTATGCCCATGGTTCGTTTTGTCGTACCAAAAGACCCTTGTATACCAATTTTCACTGTTATACATCAAATATTGTTCGAAATATTTAAAAAAAACTATTTTAAAAAGTAAATTTAAACACCCTGTATTTCGGAAGCCACGCATTTTTCGACCCATGTTTATATAAACTTTATGCATTAATTTTAAAAGTTCTATCGAATCTCAAAGTTATGCAACAATAAACTGAAACACCCTGTATATAGAAATACGGTCTGGCAATTGATGGTCTTAAAGTCTTGAAGAAATCAAACGAGCCATTTGGAGTTCGAAATCTCAAATTAAAGAGAACTATTAAAGGAGCTAGACGCTAATTTTGATATTTTGGAATAGTAGATTTATTTTGATCATTTGAATATTTGTCTTATACGTTGTTTTAATTTGATGTAGTTGAACGAACAAATTTTTTGTTTACCTAT